ACTTTGGATTATTGTAACGCAATGTTTTGTTTACTCTGTGCTTGCGTTTCAGATCGATACGGCGTTTCTTTCATACCGAAATAATTTTATTTTCGAAGACGTTATTTTTGTCTAGGAAAAGTATACCTTACAAAAATACAAATAACACATGTGCTAAACCTTAAAAGTCCTCGAAACTTCGCATACAAAGTCTCCAATGAAAGATCTTTCGAACGATGTAAAGTTTTCTTTGGGCAAATGTTTGTACGCGACGCTACATGAGGCCAAAGTTGCTTAAAATTGCAAAATTTAGACCTTAAAGTTCGCAAAAGCTTTAACTTAAATGCAAAGTTATCAGGAAAAAACTTACTCAAAACATACTAAATGAAGAAATCGATTCGAGTTTGGAGTAAATACAATATATGCTCTCCGATATATGAAACACATCCCATGAAACGGAAGTATATCAATTTACACAAAGCAAGTTGTCAACAATGAAAGACGCAGGGAKCCCATTAAAAAGCTCTTTTTCGAAAGATCAATCAAGCAATTGCTAAACTTGATTTGATGCAAATAAATTCAACAAGATTCTAAAAGTATAATACTTATATCAAGCGGATTTCAAGTAAATTCATAAACAATTTTAAATGAGGGTTCTGCAAATATCCTATGATAACACTTCATGTCTTGAAGAATAGATTACGCTGTTCGATTAAATTAAACATTGGTGCTGATAGTTGTGATAGGAAAACAGGTTATACCTCTTCTATCATGTGCTAAGGATATTCCTCATCATTTGTCGTCTTTCTCCTTTTCTGTATGAGGTTGACTTGATGTTACGTCGTGCGGGAATACTTATTAGTTGTCYTTAAAATGTTTGTCATTGGAGTAAAAATGTCGAATCCTGGGCGAGCTTTCTATCCATGGTACTGGTAAAAAGCTGTGGCCGAGGAGAGGGAAGTTTSCAAAGATGAATCGGCTGTAATATTCAGTAGGCAAGACTGGTGTTTTTATACAAGCTGTATCTGGTATGTAATATATACAATATGAGCGGGCGATCTGTATGTAATATACAACTCTCTTCATGGGCTATGATTTCTATTGTGTTTTGCCTTATGAATATTAATGAGTTTTATAAGTTAAATTATTGTGTCCAAGCTGACAATGAGGAAAGCCTGCAAAGTTGATGGATCTCTCTTTCTCAGCCCAGACGAGTATTTGACCACTCAACAAGTAGCAAGTTTTTTCTCTTGTCTTTCTGCTAATAAATCGATTCCCTAGTCTTCAGTCTAGTCATACCCCGGCTGGGCCCTAAAAGTAGTGATGATAATCGTCGGATCGCTTAGGGGTAAAAATCCGTGATTGAAAATCTTCTAGGGTGCCAATTTGGAGTTTCTGGAAATTTGCATTTTCTGCAAGTTTCTCTTAGGGTATAGGAAAAGAACAGATAGAGCGCTTCGATATTGATTTTCCTCTGCGTTTTCTTTTTGTCATTAAATATTTTATACATTTTATCATTGGAACTCATTTAATTTAACAATATTTGCTGTGCAATTTCGTAGCAGTTAAAAATCAGTCAGCCACGCCCTTTTTTAACACTTACGGAAAATGTTTGAAAGAAATAGCGAGCAAGAGCGGTCCATCACTTGTATGTTTCACTTTGCTCAGCTATAATCCGTTAGTTTTTGTGAATTGAAAATATAATATATATGCTGYACTCTGTCATTGTCGATCTTGTGCCCATACGCAATTACTTTACGTAATGTTTACAATAAAATTAATGCATATTGTTTGTATTACTCAAAGTGTTTATTGTACTGTTTTCAATTGTTCTAGTTGAGTGATATCAACTAAACGGTCACTAAATTGCATCTTTTATTTAGTAAGAAATTTGTTTATATTTCAATTATTAAAT